GCGCTCTGGAGCGCTGATCCCGCACTTAGTAGGTGCGGGAGCTTCCAGAATTCTTGGCAGGCACACAGTAGGTGTCAGGAGTATTTCCGTGGCCTGGAACCTGAGCGCCGAGAGCTTAGTGCGCACAGTGGGTCTCAGGAACTGTTCCTCAGTTTATGCTTGTGTTATAACTCGGATTCTGAAAACGGATGCAAATGTACCCTCGTCTCTGCTCTGCCGTGGGGGTTTAATTTTCTCAGGGCAGCTTGGTTAGAACAATTGGATTTTAGTGGACAGGGACTCCACTTGTGGCATGGTGTTTTTGAGGTGCAAGGCTAATGGGTCTGGAGGCAAGGAGCTCTGCTTGAGTGCTGTGATTGTGATTTATTTCTATACTTGGGAAATACCTGCCAGTACTTAGTCCCAACCACTGTGGTACTGAAGTGCCCCAGGACACTTTGCACATTCAGAGAGGCTCTTCTTAGTGTGTGGAAAAGACCTTGCATAGGCCGGAGGGAGGATGCATGCCTGGAATTTGTACAGGAGCGGAGGATTGCACCAGGACTTCCATTGAGCTTCATATAGCCGGTTGCTTATGCTAGTGACTCAGTGTCAGGCTTTTCTTGAGTTAATACAGGCTCATGAGAGAACTTGAATTAGGAGCAAAAGTGCAGGAACCCAGAATAAGGTCAGATCTGAAGATGCAAAGGAATAGTGTAAGCTGGGCATGGTGGCACATGCCTATACTTCCAGTGACTTGGGAGGCTGAGACAGGAGGATCACAAGTTCAAAGCCAGGCTCAGCAACTTAATGAGACCCTGTGTCCTCTGAAGCTTTTATGGAGAAAGGTGATTGTTTGGATCAGTTCGTGAGCTTAGAAACAAGACATGGCAAACCAGAAGTTATTATTGCTGCTGCACTTGACATAGTTAACAGGCATGTAATTTAGGGAGTTGTTGTGGACCTGGTATCCATGAATTTCATTGAAGTTCATATACATTGTCGCCTTTTTGGATTGTGGGGAGTGATGCTGGCAGATGTAACAGGTATGTGTTAGGTAGCTGGGTAGCTGGTCAGAATTTGTATCAGTGATTGGTGGTTTCTCATTCCTTTTGCTGCTTTGCTTTGACATTCTCTTGTTCTTTTTTTTTTTTTTGGTTAATATGACTTATGCCAAGAATAAAATGCAAGCTGGGCATGATGGTGCGTGCCTATAACCCCAGAGACTCAGGAGGTTTGCAAGTTCAAGGCCAGTTTTAGCAACTTAGACCCTGTCTCACAATAAAAAACAAAAAGGGCTCTGGGTATGGCTCAGTGGTAAAGTGCCCCAGGTTCGAAGCCCTCACCCCTCAAAGCAAGAATAATTTAAGGTGCAGTGTCTCTGCTACGGGAAGGGCTTGGTGGAGAGGCAGTGTGAACTCCCATTGACAAGAGCCTGCACGTCCCATCTCGCCAGGTGGCAGCACTGTCCACTGGGTTTCCAGGCTCCCAAGCTAAGAGCAGTTGTTTCTCCTGTTCCCCACGGTACTTCCCACCCCAGCCTGGTAGCCGCTTTCTCAGAACTGAATTTCAAGTCTGCTCTGTCCTTCCCTCTCTAAGGTGGAGCTTCTTGCTAACCTCTGCTGGTTGTCTCCTCCTTGAATCCATCACATGGCAGCCCGGATAATCTCTTCAGGTATACCTGGACAGCCACACCCTGTTTAAAGCTCTTGAGTGGGTTCCTTGTCCCCTTGATATAAACTCTGCACCCCCAATTGACCATACCCCTGTGGGATCATTAAGAAAGCACCAGGCTCAGCAGCATGCCGCTGGGCTATTGTCCAGAGGCCTGCTACTCTCGGGTGGGATCTAGAATTCCTTGTTCTAGCTGGAAAGCGAGATGTAGACGTTGGCAGGTTTTGATTGGTTATGATTTAACATGCTGGGGTTTTGTTAAACTTGGGTAATGTGTGTAGTACCTGAATATACATCTACCTGCATTTAAAGTTTTCCTGAGAAATCAAAATTCACTAGTAGGAAAGCAGGTATTTCAAAGGAGGTCACTGTATCTCTTGGTGAGAGGGAAGAGAGCAGCGTGAGGCAGGAAAAGAGAATTCACACAGGTAGAAATGCTGACAGGATGGGTGTCCACTGCCCGCCTGGGTTGCGGCTTGTAGTTCAGATCACAAGCTCCCCAGTACTGGGAGGACTGGTGGGTGAGTTTTCCAGTTGATTATCTTTGCTCTGGCTCATCATGACAGTAAACACTGGCGTTTTGGAAGACAGGTGTTTGTGTACATACTGGAGTTTCTGACGAGGGCCCTCTGGCACTGCTTTTTGTGAGTCTTTTAGGCTGAAAGACCTGTGTGGCCTGGGGTTGCACCTTGAGGTATTGCAACCAGCAGGTAAAATCAGATTCGTCTCTGTCTGTATACCTGGCATGGTGGAAACTGGGGTCTTGGGCTGTCAGCTCAAGAGGAGAGGGGACTGTACTTGATCAGGAGGGAGCTTGGAATAGTAATTGAAAATCAGTCCTCCTTCTGCCACTGGTTGGTTGCAAGATTTGACCAAGTTCAGTCTTTCTGGGGACTTAGTTTCTGAGCTATACAAGAGTAGGGACCATATGACTCACCCTGTTTTGGGGGATTATTATTCTGTGTTGCATTTCATTTCCACATGAGTACCCACTTAGGAGCAGAGATGTTCAAAGACAAAACAGGTAACAAAGTTCAGGTGGTGCTTAGGCTGCAAACCTCTCAGTGTTTTGGCCTCTGAGGTTCTCATGGCAGCGGGTTTCACTTGGCTCCTGGAGAGAGAGGAAAGCAGGAAATGCTGTTCTAAGGGAATCCTGAGACAGAGGGCAGACCCTGCTGCCTAAAATTAGGAGCTCTTAGACGTATTGGTCTCGGGAGCTTCAGACACCCAATTCATTAGCTCTTCCCATCTCTAGATATTTATCAGGCGTTGGGCACGTGCTGCGTGCCAGGTCTGTGAAGGTTTGGAGAAGCAGCGCTGAGGAGCAAGGACTAACAGTCAACTTTACCTGATGATGTCCTGCTCTGGGGGGTGGGAGGAGATGATGACAATGAGGGACACTGAGGCATGGCTCAGCTTGTACAAAACCCTGGGTTCAAATCCCAGCACTACAAAAGTCAAGCAAAAGACTTGGGAAGCTGACCAGTCTAGGAGGAGGAGCAGAAATGGAAAAAGAGAAAGTAGAAAGGAATTAAGAAGAGAAAGAATGGTAGAGCTCATCATAAGTGACAGCGATCTCCAGTAGCAATGGTGACCTGCAACACCTGGGCTTTCTTGTGGATGGAGAACACTTGGGTGAGCTGGTGGCAGCACACCGCAGGGTCAGGCTGGTGTCCTGGAGGAAGGATGGACTGTGGGACAGGGTAGGAGCCAGTGTAGTGCGTAGTGTCAGCAGAGAGAGGAAGCGAGCCATGCTTTAGAAAACATGTTCAAAACAAAGTCAGCGTCGGCCAGTCTGGGGATTAGCTTGGTTGCTTAGAATTTGGAGCTGTTATTTCTCATTTTAACATTAAGAACATGTAAGGATCTGTGGATGACCGAGATCTTAACTGCACAGAGTTTTTCTTGAGTTAAATCCCTGCTGTGCTCTGAATATAGAAGGTTTGGTTGGAATGTGGCATCATATCATAAGGAGGCCAGTGTGGTGCCTTTAGGTTGGGGACAAGAGGCAGGGATTCAGCCTGGTGGCCTGGCATGGGGAGAAGAAGGAGTTGAAGGTAGCTTGCTAGACCCAGGACCCTAGGATGCTGCAGGAGGTGGCTGTGGCATTATGTGATTGAGGGTGGTCCTCGAGCAGCAAGTGAGCGTCTTGGAGATGGACACTTTCTAAGTTATTGGTAGGCTCAGGACCTGCTGCTTCAGGGAGCATCGTCTCACGGTTCTTCCCGACTCCAAGATACACTGTTTAAGGTCGGTATTTTCATAGAGTTAAATTAACTTTAAAAGTAGACTTTAAATTACTTTTAAAAAGTCAAAGTTACTTAAATCTTTCTGATGACTGTGTAGTTTTTGTTTAGTCTTGATGGTGAATATAGAGCCCATGGTAGCAGAAAGGCAAAGAATGAAAGCCACCAATGGTCATGTTTTTGTTTGCCAAATGAGTGTGTGGAAAC